GCTTGGTGACCGACCCGTCTTAGTTTCTGAAACAGTTGCAGCCAGGTTGCTGAAGCGTCCAACAAACTGAATCCGGGCGCTGTTAGAGGAGATACCTTTCAAGAATCCCCATTCAGTCGTCTCAAGCAGATCGTCCAGTATGTTGTAGCTTGTGATCCTGCGTGTTAGTTCGGTGTGTTCCTCCGCGTTTTCAGCGTAACTCACAGTTGTGAAGTATGGTGGCATGATCACTTAGTCCGAATGGACTGTCTAATAATGGCCTGTCGACTATGTGTTCTTCATTTGTAAGTACTAGGCCTAGTACCGATGGTTTGTTACCAACTCTGTACCTGGTAGGCGAGGTGATGTGACTGTACAGAGGAATCATTGCGATAAAATCTTGCAGTTCGACTTTGAATATTTCGCTGGGGGATTCCGGGGCGTCTAGGTCATGCACGTTTAAATGGCCGGAAATAAAGAAATGACTGTAAGTCGGCCGGTGGCCGAGTGGTCTGTGCGTTTGGTTTGCAACCATAAGGTCACCGTTTGGAATCCGCGTAGGGGTGGGCGTCCTCGCGGTGTACTCAGCCCGCGCGCGACTGTGGTGGTCGCGCGGCAGCAAAGCGCCGTTACGGCGTACAGCTGACACACTATTACTAAGTTGAGAGTAAGCTTTTTGTCAGTGCTGATACTAGGCGAGAATTTATCTCTGGAGTGGACGATGGGGAGCGATAAACGACTGCCACGAAACAGTTCTCATTGTGTACGAGACGAAAACGACACCATAGCGAGTCGATGACCCGCGTCTCCAGATCATCCAGTGATTCGCATTGTAAGTCGTTGCGATAGTCTAGGATTACACCAACTCTCTTCCTGGGACAATCGTGTCCGAACAGTGACAGTGAATCGCGATCTGGGCATCCGTAACCTCTGCATTAAGTCTCGCTTATGGAGATGAGATCCTAAGCGTTTGTTGCCTGACGCAACCGAAGCTCGGTGATTTTGCTGAGGAGGCCTTGGGCATTAGTGTACATGCAGGAAAGGGTTTTGTTTCTCAGCAGCGATCCGAAAGACATGTGGCTCTGATGTGAGGTTGCGCCGACAGTTGTGTGCTTTGCCGCTAGCCGTTTTTTTGTATTATCACCGAGTCGCTTGGAGTTGATTTGAGTGGCGTCGTAATTAGCCTCTCTGACAATTCGCTTTGAATAATGCATGGGGAGTGGTTGCAGGATTGTATAGGAAGATCTTCACTTCTTTCAGACCTGCTACCAGTGTGAATTTGGAATGGGATCCTCAATTCCTTTGCCTTCTAAAGTGGCGCTTAAAATCAGACGACATTTTCGCTCACCGCTTTGAACAGGAGCTAGGTTGGCAGTCTGTTCCGAAGTAACTATCATCACTCCAGTAGCCTAAGTGTCATCTGCCTAGTTTGTACCACAATCTTAATTATTACTTGGGCCGCATCCTTTGTTGCTTGCTGATCTTAACAGACTCCAAGAAGAAGTATCTACCACGTCATCCAAGAGCAAGGCATCACGAATAAAACGCTACTGCTCCTAGTTTTGAGGCTTTGTTTCTCATTCATCGTGATTATCAGACTGCGTAACGCCATGAAGAAAGCGGTTCTGGATGCGGTGTCTAAGTATAACTTCTAGGCTCTGGTTCGCTCGTTTGCGCTCGCCCCATGGAACGTCTGGAAAGACGCGGATCAAACAGGATCCGTTCTGCAGACGAGCTGTCGAAAGCAACACTGCTTCCATTTCATCGATAGAGTTTTGCACATTCCTGGCTTCACCATAGTGCTTGGAATCCTGGTGGTGGGTGATCCTCGTCAAGTTGGTGGGCTTAGTCGGGACACCGAGCAGGTTGCTTATGTTGTTCCATTGGTTCAGGTCGTTCATCTGCTTCCTTTTCAATGAATTCGATGTTGACTCTGGAACGTTGGTATGTACATTGGATGATGCATCCCATTGCTTTTGAGTATCTCTCATAGGTGTATGGGTCGTGGTTGGGAGACCGAGCGATTTGCTGCGCATCAGTTCAGCGTTGCCTTTCATATTAGCCTTGGGTTTTGTAGTAGAACCAGCAGTTTCTGATTTTGGTGTGCTCTTGGGTGCAACTACAGCCCAGCTGCCACCGATAATGGCTTGTTTCCCAGGTTTTGGCGAAGCCTCGTGGGAGGAAATGGGTTTAGTGGAAATTTTTGCAAATGGGCTGCTGCGATTTGGATTAGTGGTGATGTTTGCTGGAGTCACTTTGTTATTGCTACCTCCGGTGGTGTGGAGTTGGCTTGAACTGGGGTACGGGTCACCCGCTTTTTGTCCAATCACACATAGTGAGGTGCGGAGACTGGAACGGGTTCAGCATGTTGCTGCCAGGCTCATCTCCCCTTTACGGGTTATACTGTGCAAAGACCGATGCAGGAGACTAAGACTGTACATCCTGTCGTATCGTCGTTTTCTAATGGACCTCATAATGACGCTCCGGATATGACATCTGGGTAACTTCCTCGTGCTAAAGCTGTTGTTGCACGTGCGCGCACTAAGCAACACTCGTGTCCAGTAGTACAACTTCATAGGGCCGAATCTGAACAGTGCAGCTCACCTCCTATGCTTCGAGCGGCGAGTGGTGAAAGATTGGAACAATGTGTCTTGAAGCGTTCATCAAGCCCTAAAAACCCAAAGATATGGCTACTTAAGCAGTGATAAAGTGATGATCACTCAGTATGGACCTCAGTATTGTATAACGGCTATCGTGCCATCATGTGAGTTGCGTAAATACAAGCGGTGAAATATTGGCACAGTTTGCCGTAGAAAATATTCGAGGCGAAATTGGCGTCGAACTTCAAGCGGATTTTAGATTTAGGGAGCTCATCGCACCCGAGTAGCACGTGGCGCAGTTGTAATATGCTGCAAACGCGCAGGAATCAGTGACGTGATTCCGCACACGTGCCCGGTGGAGTAACACATATATCTACTAGCACTCTATTTTCAGTAATCATTATTCACGCTCAGCTATCGTGTACTGATGATTCAGAGCAAACAAATTTGTTTTTAAGTAGGTGCGTCGCAACTAGACCCAGCCATGCGGCTACCACACCCCCAGGAACGCAATGGACGGCCGTTTCGTTCTGTTGGGGCCGTCGAGCGCTTTCTTGTATCTGTGCTGACTGTCTGACTCAGTCTAGCTGTGACGAATCTTCCCAGAAACAGTAAATCCCGCTACTATTCGCAACAAATTAGTTGTTCCTCGATAGTGCAAAGAATCTCACCCACTAGCGTGTGTAATGATAAAATGTCAGGCGATCCGCCACAACGTTAGCTGATTGATTTCAAACACTAATATCACTCACTTGACTTCCCCAGTAACCATGTTCGATGTTTCGTTTGCACTGGGCACCAGAGTCACTGGACAATTCCTGTGCGCACCGGCCATGTCTCATTTCAGAACGGTTGGACTGTTCCTTTTGCGTTGTTTTGCTGATGACTCACAGCCTCCGTCACTGGCTAACGATCTAACGACCCACACGAGTCCATCTAATGCGCACGGCTCATGACTTGCTTTCCTGGGTTTGTTCAATTTATCCTGCAGATGATGTGATCTGCTGTTATCAATCCCCGGATCCTGCTGGGGACTCGCTGCATGCTAAGTCATATCCACATCGATATCTCTCACCTCGGACGTGTGCACCATATCCCAAAACACGCAGTAATCCGTGTCGATTTTCTGAACAGCTGTGGTTTGTTAGTAGGACTAAATTGCAAGTGACTTCGCTCGTGCACTCCAAGTCTTTGTTGACCAACCGATAGAACTGTTATCTCACCTGAAACATCTGGCGTCAAGTCATTATTAATCTTTTCACTCACAACCAAGGGATAGATCCGGCATTTTAAGCGCTCTATTTGTGTTAGTGAACCCAGTGAAAACTTTCCATTGACCTATGCAGATTGTTAGAGAGTAATAGGGGGTTTACTGGGTTTTTGAGAGGATTCAGAAAAAAGGCATGAATGTCGGTACTCAGTACCGACACTTCGCTGCCGCGCAACCACCACCGGTCGCACGTTGGCTAGGATACTGCGAGGGTCGCCCAGCTCCTACGCAGGCTCGAACACACGCCGCCAAATTACGAGACAGGCTTGTTATCTTTAGGCTACGGATTCATCGCAGCTATTCTCAGCCAGACGATCACCACACATCCCGGGAAGCACTAGACGGCCCCAACCTGACGCTTTGGTGTATGCTGGCTGTCTAGCTGCGATGAATCTTCTCCAAACTGCACTTTGTTTGGTTACGTTCACTGAGATTTTGGACTTATTTTAGGCAAACGCATCTTGAATACCACATACGTTGTGAGCATCTCCCTCGACCCAGCAGTGTCCTATGGGTCTACGCGTGATCGCACAGCCCCATACACGGAACTCGCTTTTTCCGATCGGTCCCTTCTATTCCCTCAGTTTGTCGAAATACCACTTCACCCAATAGCTATCATTCTTTGCGCGCTTGTTTTGTCCACTCTATTTCAGCACAACTTATTTCTCATCGCGCAGGACTGGTTTCACGGTACATCAAATCCAGTCCTAGAAAATATGCACTGGTTAACACTAGGCTTGCGAATAACTTAGTTCTCTTTTGTGCAATCATGGCTCAACTACTGTGATTCACTTGGAACAGGTCTGATGCGGTGTAACTTAGTCTATTCTGAGAGCTGCAGAACGGTAATGCTGCTGTACTCCAAACGCTCAAGGTTCAGAGCAGTAAGAGGAGTATTTGCTTACCTTCGCAAGACTACATTATCTTCACTTTAAGCCAACACCTTCCTGTCTGTTATTGTTTGTCATAGCCTTTGTTTATGCAATGTTGCTACCTCTCTCTGGTAGTTTCTGTTGAACCTACATCCAGCGCTTGCGGCTGATTTAGTCAACCAAACGTTCAGTTTTGTTCCCGTTAGAGTTGTTGGCCATTGAGGCGTCTTTCCCTATCGCTTACATACGACACGCCTGTTTCTCTGCTCTCTTTGTCAGATTCATCATCTTGCCGTGCTCGCCCGTCATTGGTTCCAACATGACACCATCGATTCCGAACATGTAACGACTCCACTTTTGAACGCAATTGACACATTCTGCTCTTATACAAAACTGGTAGCTTTCCTGTATCGTTTGGGTTTGTTGCCTCAAGATCGCTCAATTCTGGATGTGGAAAACTTTAGCAGGTGAATTTTTTACCTCATAACTCGAAATCTACAATCCCTCGTAGCCTGCTTTTTCTTCTGTTATTTGTGCACTCTTGATGTCACGCACTCTTGATTACCACTGTTATTTGGGCACGTTTCAGTGAATTTGATATGGTCGAGCCGAAGAACACGTCTTCAGTGCTGTTCCCGTATCAGCCGGAATTGTTTACTCATGTGATCCATCATCTCAAGTCCCGGAGTCAGTCGCGTACGCATGAAGACAATGAACTTGGGGAAGACCTCATTTTGACGGATGCTCTTTTGGCAGCTGCACTCGGTTCAGCTTCACACGTGTGGTCTGAACAGGAAGCAGCCTGCGTTCACAACACACAGGAGAACCGATCTGTTATTGATCCACACTACCCACCGCGACGTTTACAATCAGTGTGTGCACTGTGGCAATTGCCTCCTGATTCCACGACTAATAATGCCCGTCTCAGTTTGCTTGGCTTTCTGCTTTGTGATGCCGCTGCTGCCGCGGCCTATAAGCGGCAAAAGCTCCATTGCATTGAAATCCATCCCACTTCCACTCCTCGCATGCTGGCGCTAAAGTTGGTACGTTCTTTTCGTTCCTGTACGCTACCTAACTACAATGGAGTTTTATCCCCTTTACATCAGCACTCTTGAGGTTGTCTATGAGGTGATAAACGCGTTTCCCCTCTGATCTACATTCTCCTCACAGTTTCGAAACGTGATGTCCCAACTTGTCAGACAATTTCCTACCGCGTTGCCGCTTCTGCCAACTATATTTACCCTATGGCTGCTTGATCGGGGATTCTTCGAGGTACATCCCTTTTCTTTCTATTTTCATTTGACATCAGAATTTTTGTTTGCTGTTCTTATCTTCCAGTTCCACTGAAGCCGTCACATTCATCCGCAACGAAGAAGGGTAGATTGGTTAATGTGCGTAGTTGTAACCCAACTGCTATGGGGCTGTGCGACCTTCTAACCGGCTTGATTATGCATCCATTGCCCTCAGCTGCCGCGAAAAATTGTATTGTCGCATGGTACTTTTCGATCACCTTATTTGTCATGTAGCGGTCGGAGCATCAAAACGATTTCTGAATTGTGATCAAAAATATATTGTGGTATTATCACTTGCACGTTACATACTTCTTAAGTGCTGTGCTTTTTATCAGCTTTCTTTGTCCGTCTTATGCGGTCTGCTTACATGTATTGGCTTGTGCGCCACGTTCGTTCACTGTGTTTGATCTATCTTAAAGCCACATTAAACTTTGTTCTTGCTAGTCCGTCGGATCCCCATGCAACTGGCCAGCTCGCACGTGCAGCTCACCACTGGCTTGCTGTCCACCGTCACTTGTTGGCTCCGCTGCCTTAATTGACCGGCATCATCAATAGCAGCCGTTTCATGAGCCCACTTCCGTTATCGGAAGCTTGTTGTCCTGCTCAATCCACTCCTCCCTTACCTGCAGCCATGCTGCAGTTCATTCATGCTACATCGCACCAACCCGGTCTTGTCTGCCCGATCCATACAATTATGCTCAGTTCGCTTGGGTCGGGATCCTTTTTCCTTCTGTCCGCCTGTTCCGTTCATCTGACCTACAGTCTGTCATCGCACACTGTACCAAGCAATTTCCTTTTGATTACTAATGCTTCGGAGCATTTTTGATGATATTTTGTTGGTCCATCTCAGCAGCTCACAATCAGATAGTCTAAGTCCCAATCCTGAAAATCACAAGGCGATCGTTTCGCCCTATTAGTGCGCATTCCCTCGGTTTCATATAGTGAACCGAACGCATGACCGCTAGCAGTTTGCGCCAACTAGCCAGCAGCTTATACCACTATGGCGCGGTGGACGGCAACAGACCGTCTGAACATGCAAGCTAACTGGGATATAGTTTAACACCCACTGTCATGCAGGTTCCTACCATTGCAGAGTACAGTGGTTGATCTCCGTGGTTACGACTTCCACAGCGCGGTGGCTGTCCGCATAGCATTTGAAGGCTGTGAGGGCGAATGTTTAGATTACTAATGAGTAGGAAGATTTTAGATGAAAGTTAACAAGCGCTACAATCTAAACACCAATTCGGCAAAGTGCCAGACGGTCGTTTCACCCCATTGGGGCTTGTCAGTGTTGCGCATTCCCTCGGTCCCCTGCAGCAAACCGCATCCATAACCACTAGCCGTTTGCTCCAATTAGCCAGCAGCCAATGCTACTGAGCCATGGCAAACGATAGTTGACCATCATGGATTGAAATCTACTGGCGATATAGCCTGACTCATCCTCAACTGCCATGCAGGTTACTGCTCGTGCAGAGGACAATGGTTGACACACGGGTGTCAAGAATACCCTCTCAGTAACCGTGGTTGTTGACTTCGAGCGCCTTCGTATTGGATCCTCCTCTTGTTCCTGACGGTACTCACCTGGTGCAACATGAGGTCCTGTTTCTTCCTTTCTATCATTATTGTTCGTCAAGCAACACCGCTCTGTTAACTGCACACAGTTACGTTCGATTGTCGTCAACATGAATGTTACCAGCGCTCGACACACATTCTGATTCGTTCAACGGAAAGTCACGTTGCTTTGAGTACACCTTGGCCGTTACTTGTGCGGGTTAGGGGATCATTGACATCCACTAATCTCTCCTCCCATTTTCGGGCGCACTCATCGTGACGCTTTTTTACCCACTCTGTATTTCTATGTACCTCACTAGTTTTCAATACTATTCATGGCCACTTAACTTTAGGCCACTGTCTTCTACCCGAACTAAGTTGCCATTGGGACGAACTGTTACCGATTGTCATTCTAGACCACATATTCATGGTCTACGAGTGTCATCTAGAGTTCGTTTGTTGTGATGTGCGCGTTATGGACTCCACTTTTAGTCCTTTCTCCTCATCTACCCACTACCATTCCATCCCTTGCACTTTTAGGAAGGTCTTTCTTCACGCTTGCGAGCCTATGTGACCGGTACCGACTTCGTGTCCCACTCAACACAGTCCCGATTTGTTTGCCTATTCCCCAACCAAAATCGCGTCCTAAAAGATTACCTTACCTCTTGTGGCCAGTTGTCTGTTTGGTACCGGTTGGTCGATTCGCTCCCCCTGGACACCGCTGTTGATTCTGGACAAGCCAATCAGTTGCTGTCCCAGTCGACTTTGCACTCCCCAGTCCTTGGAGAGTTACGGGCTGTTGGTACACCTTTTTTGGCCTTGTCTCAATTACGTCGAGTCGCTGCGAAATTCGAATCCATGAGATCGGATGGTGCGATATCCGACGAAATGTCTGAAAAGGCGCATTCGATGATGCGGAACATTCTGATTGAGTTAGCCGAGGCCTGCAGACGTGGTGAGTAAATTTTTCGGTGCCCTTCGTCTTTGAACTCCTCGTGTATGTTGTTACTTGGTACCTGTTGTTCTTACCAACATATGTACATTGTAGTTGCTGAGCAATCGCTTGGAATGATCTGTCACTTCACTACGTAAGTAGCTGTATTATCTCTGGGGGTTCCCTCACTGAATGTGTCGTTACATTCAGCAGTGAGGCTCATGTAGCCTCTCAAATCCGTACTCATTCATCAAGGCGCTGAAATATGTGTTTGTTAGTTTAGGGGTGTGCGCACAATGCTGCATTGTCGCTATTTTTGCTGTGTGACCCATCGATATAACCAACGTGTTTAAAACCTATGGAAAGTGGCGGTCTTTGATCTCCGATACCTACGTTTGTCTAATCCTATATGACTCAACGATACTCAGAGTGTAGTCCTAAGATCTACCAATTGACTTCTGACAACATACTATCCTGCACCGTTCCCGATCAATACTTGTGTAGAAACCATCTACGTCGTTTGGGTCACCTTTTTTCGATGGTCGTCCGCTGCTTTGACGTCAGTTGTGCTCGCTTGATTGTGTGGGGCTCAAGGGCGGTTAGCTGATGGTGTGGCAAATGTGGATAAAGAAATAAATCGGCAGATTTATTAGGTTAACACACGTCTTGTTCCTCATTGGGGCCTACGTGATGATCAGCCACGTCGGTGGTTACTTGCACTTTTTTCCTTTTTCGCGATGCTAACCGCATTCGCGCCTGAGTTCCGTCATCTCTGTTTGTTAACATTTCCGTCAGGCGATTGCTTCTCTGTTTTTGAAGTTATATCCTACTTTGCATGCGTTTTATCCGTTTTCCAATAAATGTTGTTATTTAAATTTATATGTTGCTGCATGTCAACTTGCTCCATTGCACTTCGATACTCAGATCACTGTTCGTTCCCAAATTCTGACTAAATTGTGCATATTTCCACCATTGTTACGAAATGGACCAGCAGGTTATTTGCAGGACTTATTTGGACAGCATGGATCAGAAAAAAATTTATCGTGGTTGCGTGTAGGGGAAGGTGTGCCAAGACACTTTCATACTCATCACTTATCGCTTTGACTTGAGAGGATAGTCGTTAGAAAGTAAGAGCTGCTAGCGTAACGCCTTTTTTCTCCTATAAAACCTCCCACTTTACTCGTGGTCCGTTGCTTTCACTCCCACTACGCGGAACTGTCTTCCTTAGGTTCATTGTTTCCAGCTGAATATCCTTTCTCCTTGGATCCTCTTTACCCCGCTATTTCATCGTGCTTTCTCAATAGCGATCGAGATTTACGATGAAGCTAATTTGGATCGAACCCGCTCGCTAATTTCAAGTACTCTGTTTCTGTAACAAGCCCGAAGTATATTCTTAGCACTGACTTCAATACCGACCCTTTTTTGCTATCTGATGTGTTAGCGCCATTCCATTGTCTGGCAGCTTTTTACTTCGTTTTTCATCACATCTGACCCTGTTCTCATCCTGTATGGTAATCTCGTCTTCATAGATTCATAGTGATTCTCCATCTTTAGCAGTGGCTTTTAACTGAACGCTGTGACCGGTTTCCTTCTGTCCATAATCGGGGTTAATTCTGCGAACACTCAGTACGGGGAACAACGACTGATTACCCAACGTATTCTGATCTCTATACTCGGCACTTTTATCGCTGCTTGTGTTCTTAGTGTCGTATAGCTCTCCAGTAGTCTAACCTACTTATGTGTAGTGAGGCAAAGTATCGTCTACCCTGTACTGATATGCTATGCTCTTTAGTTACGACGACTTCACATTAGTCACTTTTCATTTACACGTCTTCCGTCGTTTGTCAGTGTGCGTCGGTCTACACTTTCTGCTCGCTTGACTCCACTTTAAATCCTGCCTGCTTTGTTCACTTGCTTGGGCGTGTGTTTGTCAGTTCTCCTTTGTCTTAGTGGAATACATAGGCTACATAGCAGACAATCAAAGTGCGATGTTAATGGCGAAATATTTAAAGCGGTCGAAGGCCCTTAGGCTCACGTGACCCGTTCCGAGGAAAATGGAAACACCAGCCTCACCCAGGGAAGGGCTAGCGTGGTCACGAAATCCATTCGCTTGCACAGAGTTTGTTTCAGCCGCCGAATTGCTGACGTCTCCGCAAACTGAAGTAAGCGGGAAGTAGCTTGTTTGCTAATTACTCTGAAATTGCCATGTGGGTTTTGGCATTTGGGGCAGTCAAGTGTGTGTGGGGCAAGAGAGCTAGTCGGCAGCTTCGGGCCATTAGCGATCATGTTTCGCGGAACATGCTCTGCAACCCTCGCTGAGGGCCTTCTCTCTGTTCGGCCTATATACTTGCTACCACAAGTACAATTAAAGAGGTAAATGCATGAGGTCTGTCCAGATTTGATTTACAGAGCAACCTTCTGACTTGATGTAATACCAAGGGTATTGCGTTAGCAAGTACATAGGCCGAACTGAGAGAAGGCTGTCAGCGAGGATTGCAGAGCATGTTCCGCGAAACATGATCGTTAATGGCCCGAAGCTGCCGACTAGCTCTCTTGCCTCACACACACTTGACTGCCCCAAATGCCAAAACCCACGTGGCAACTTCAGAGTAATTCGCAAACAAGCTACTCCCTGCTTACCCCTTTTTTCGGAGGCGTCAGCAATTCGACGGCTGAAACCAAACCTGAACATCTCCTTTGTCTATCTGACCAGCACACGCTACATTCTTTTGCGGCTCTTTTAGCCAATCCGCTTCACCTTTGTTCGTGACAGAGCTGTACTTTGTTCCTTCTAGGCTTAACCAGTTCTGATTTCTCTCTCTGACTTGTCCGGGTTTGCTCAATTTGCATCGGTAGCGACTGGTCGGCCTCTTGTCTGCCTATACCGTGTCGGTCGTCCTTGCACAAACAACCAACTATTATCACAACAACACCTCTGTTTGTCTTCATGTTTGTTTGGTCTTGGGTTGTAACTATGGCGCTGGTAGTCACATTCCATCCCTGCCTGCTTATTCTCTATCCTCTACCTCACTGAGGATTCTCTCCATCCACGGATATCGCGTCGTTAAGTGTACTTGGTGCTCTAAGTTGTTTACATTTCTATGAGCTGGGAGGTTTGGCTGCAGGCATTTCATCACCACGTCAGACAGCATCTTCTGCACAGTCTCCAGAGAGAGTACCGGTGATTTTGCCTAGTCTGGCAATTAAATGTTTCCAGCTAACTCATACTGATGTGGTATGCGCAAGACACTGAAGTGACACCTGATCCCATTCATATTTCAAGTACTTTCAGTTATTGTTAATCCTCGATACTTTGTCATGTGTGGCCCAGAGACTGATGACAGATGCTTTCGGCAGTCTTTGTTACTTGAGGATATCAATAATCACCCGGATTTGTAAGGCGCAGTTACTCCAGTTCTGTCCCGCAAAACTACACCTTTTCTCATTCCATTGCATCCATAGCGCTTTTAACTTCCTTCTTGAGGAAATCGAGTTCCTCCATAGAGCTCTCAAGATGGTCCTTCACGCTAACAAACTGCATCCAACGGTTACGAACTTCTCTAAATACTACTGTCCATTGAGTGAAAAGTCCCAAAACAGGCGGTTGCACCCCACTCTATGTCCTCATCTATTATACTATCAGCAGATTTGGAATTGACCTTTTAACTAGCATGCACATTTTTAGGAGTGTTTTCACCCGTTGGATGTAACTTGATAGCGTTATGGACCACTTTGAAAGATCTGTGGAGGAGCATGATTTCCCTAGGGGGAATTTATAAGCGTTAGGGATGTATTTGACTGAGGTCCTTAATCGACGAGTTTGTCTCGATTGTATTTTATGTTCAAATCCTGTTTAACTTCGGTTTTGATATAATTAGGGCCTGTTAGCCATCCGCCAATCGACGTCAACAAGAACGCTTCATCAATACCTTTGTATTTAGCAAGGACATTTCGCTGCCACGTGACCACAACCAGTCGCGCGCGGCTCGGGACACTATTACCGGGATTACCAACCAAACGCCTGAATCAATCGGCCACTAGCCGAGAGGTTTAGTCTGGCTCTGGAGTAAACATATCAAACTGATGGTTCTTGCAGAACATTATCACCTTTGCAAGCACACCCGGTGGCCCACGCAAAGAGGACTCAGGGATTTCATATATATATATATATATATATATATATATATATATATATATATATTCAATTAGTTTTCGTTTACAACCCTCTTGACAACAAACGTGGCCACTGCAGTCCTCGAGGAACCTTCTGTTTGACATTCCTGCTATGAAATTTCTTGAAATCAAGAAAATCCATCAGCGTCATTTACTCGCCCACGCATTCACTCTCGTTTTTCCTCGGTCTTCCTCCCCACTCCATCGGAATGGTTTCAACACTTTCTTTCATGGTTGTTAACTCTACTTTGAATAGCTGTGCTAAACCGGATACAGATTACCTGTGTTCTGTTGTCACTGAATTCTCTATTCATTCAAACGGCATCACGTTTCAAGATTTTGCTGAAGTGTGGTTACTTCTCTCACATACGCGGTTAAGTGCAACATTATCGTGGTCTAGTCAACGGTTAGTAATAACTAGAGTTGTCATTTTTACCCCAAGTCCCTCCTCTTTTATGCACTTTAAGACGAACTTTAAGTAACCTGTAGCTTTTCGTACAGCGAAATCTTTTAAATGTCACACAGCCACCAGTTACTGCACCATAATTTAATGTCGCAAACTGCTCATGCCGAAGCTGCGCCTGTCAGCCTGTTGGACTGATAGCTCTTGCATTCCTCGTGTACTCTAACTACTTCGCCATACATTGTCACGTTAATATTTTCACTGGTGCTTCTAGTTCCTCGTTTCCATCATCCCTCTAAACAATCTGTCATCCGCCGTTTGTTTTTTCTCTGCCCTTCCTCTAACCAGCTGGACGGCTCGGTGATCTCATCAATTTGGGGCTCGATGAATGGGAAGCTCAAACACTTTTCGAATTCTACAAGGATTCTGGCCAGTACGGGATCATCTTCCGTTGCTTACTCGCTAGAAAACAGTACCGTGTGAGTACGGAGACTTAGGCGCCTCTTCATGTCCATTGTGGGTGCGCATGTAAGCTGCACGAAATATCTGTCATACCCTCACGCACCTTATTAATTCTACTCAATTCCACTGTCAGTATGTATCTCACGAGCACGGTGGTGTATGCTAGGCACCGCGCATGTTAAACACCAATTCACTCTGATAACTCCGGATAATCATGTCGAGTGGCGTTGTCGTAACTTTAATTTGCACTGTAACTATCAATCTTTCTTCTTCAATGATTGATGTGACGTGCGGTAGCGGATACCTCATTCCGATGGCACCTGTGTATTCCTTATCTTGTATGGACATCTTAGAGACTGGCACAGCCCATCGTCTGCCCATTGTGCAGCTTTGTGTCATAAGCGCTCAGGAAACCACTGCTCCCCGTCTCCTGTTGGGTCGAGGTTGGTTATCCTCTTCGTTTGAAGCATCCATCGGAGCCTACGATTGACTGGCTATAAGGTGAACTAGATTCGCGTAGATCGCTAATCCACTTGCAATCTCTGACAATAGAGAGTACCAGTACTTCGCCCATTTACCATAAATCTCCATGCGTTGCCTGACCCTTGACCAGTGGCACATAGATCCGCCACAACTCACATCCATTCCACCCGCCATCTCTTAATGAGTACCCTAGAGCAAACCGCATTCAATGCATCTTAGACCTTCACTGATGCAATATCTCCTTCTAACTTTTACTTAGGAGCCTTTAAGCATGAAATGTTATACTCCCTCTAATTCCTCATTCGTACGATGGGATATTGTGATCGTTACTGGCGTCATGGTTGTCTGTTCTAGACGAACTTCGCGGACGTTTGATACCAGTCGTGCTTATACTGTCATTCACTTTCAAATTCTTAGAAGGTACTTGGAACTGACCGAGTAGTCATGAGTTTATAGAGGTTTGGAAACAATCGGTTGGTATGGTAATTTGGTAAAGTTCCGCCCTCAACACAAGGGCTTCGTCAGACCAGGTGAATCAGTGTGCAATTGGGGTGGGATTTTATAGCGAACAAGGGCGATAACCGCGTTACCCGAGACTTGAGCCATGGTGTCATTACAGTAATAGTTCGTGATGTCACCTCAGGTGGTTCAATCACACCTGGACTATTCCCACTGTGATTGAACCACCTGAAGTGAAATCACGAACTATTACTGTAATGACACCATAGCTCAAATCTCAGGTAACGCGATTATCGCCCTTGTTCGCTATAAAATCCCACCCCAATTGCACACTGATTCACCTGGTCTGACGTAGCCCTTGTGTTGAGGGCGGAACTTTACCAAATTACCATACCAACCGATTGTTTCCAAGCCTCTCTGAACTCGTCATTCACTTTGTTTGTGTGCTGTCCATGATTTTTACGTCAACTGCACCATGTTTCTGCATACTGGCCAGGGACTTGGTCACATAAGGTCACATAAGATTCTTCCCAACATGTCCTAGTAGCGAAACCAATGTCGCACTTCCTCATCGCCCGTCATTTTACTTGTTGCATTTTCTCTTTAACAGATATAGAAATTTTGTTCAATTTTTACACTTGCTTCCCTTCGTCTCCATCTTTCCCTATTGTTATCGCGGGTCGTGCCAGCCGAATCCACTTCACTTCTGTGCCCTTGGTCTAGTTCACCGGGATCTGTACCCTCTCCCGCTGCACTACTACTCAAGTCACTTCAACTGACATCCTTTTCCTTTATGTGTTATCCGTATTTTTATTTACGCTTGTCTTCCCCCCCCCCCCTCCCTCCATCTCTCCTACCATTGTTTTCACGATAACCTGAGTTACAGCTACCGAATTCATCGCATTTTTATGCTCGGATCACGTCTTCTTCAATCTAACTGTGCCAAATCTACTGCGTATGCCTGGTCACCGCTTACCGAAGAGGGCCTTGTTTTGTTTGCCAAATGTAGAGTGGCGTAAGACTTGAGATGGCAGCGGGAACTGAAGTCATCGGCGGTCCAACTCGGTGCCGTCGGTCCGTCTCGCCTTTCAGGCTACAGCCCACGGAACTCTCCTTGTGCTTGGCTCGAGACGTTACAGGACATGGCTCACAGTCGATACTGATGGCGTGTCTGCTGTCGTCTCCTAGTCGTACTGCGTGTTTAAAGTGTGGTTGGTGCCGAGTTATCTGCAGGGCAATGGCTGTTTGTGACGCGGGGCAGTTAAAGCCGCAAAAATGCTATCTTTCTGATGCTGCCTTATATTTGCACGATTGCCAGCTGTTTATGCTGGTATGTTGTTGTCAAGTTGTAGGCGCCTTGATTCTGTATGTTTGCTTAGGGCATCAAGGTTTTCCGGTAAGTTCCCGTTATTTCCCTCTTATTATTTTTCGTTCCGTAGATCATCATAGTAGTAAGGCAGCGAAGCATCAGTTCAAATGGTTGATGTACTACTGTTGATGATGATCATTATTATGCCAAATTTTCGTTTCGGCTCATCAGCATGCTCGTCTTACCGGTTTTCTTGAGCCTCGTACTTTTTTCATCATTAATGAAAAAGTTTTCACTGTTCGTCTTGCTACTGCTCTGCTCGAGAACGTTAATTCATGACAACATCACAGTCGACTCGCGGTCACGCACAAGCTGTATGTCGGTCTAGGTAATTGACGGCATCCATTTGTTTCTATCCCGTCAGCGATTACACTCGCGGCGATAAATCATATGCTTGCTTAGTACTACTATACCACATTATGCTTTAGCCCAAGTGCCGGGTTTTTTTAGCTCTTCGGCGTTGGACAACACTGTTCACTTTTGTCCTTGCGTTATATTTTGCGACACTACATGTTCCGTAACCGAGAGTTCTTCTCTTTCTCCCCCGTGCTGTCTGTGTAACCCATTCGTCCCGAATGTTATCCGCCATGTTCCCTATTTATATGATCATTTCACTCGTTTATACCTGGAATCACCACTGTGTCGTTCTCATAGCATTGTACAGGAACACACTTATCTCTGCCTTTATTGATGGCGTATTGGGATTATTCATTTGTTCCGTTTGGTTGTCTGTATTGCTTCTGTAGAGCGCACTGTCAACTTACCAACTATACCAACGTGCGACACGGGAAAGATCGGTGCACGAGCTCCTCACGTCGAACCCCACTCCATCCGCTGACCGGTCAAGGAAAGAATTACAATTGTTGTCAGACTTGCTAATACAATCTCTGCCAGAATGCTACCAAGATGGTTGTGCCGATTGTTCTCCCACTGAAATCATCCGCTCTTTATCTCTCTGGGCTAAAGATGTGGATGCGAAATCCCCTATTTCCGGTGTGCCATATCGTCGCTACTCGGCGCTTGAGTGCCCTTTGACTTCCACTAAGCGGAGCTCTCCTCCACCCACTCTCAAACGCCCTGCATCGACACTTAGTTCTGAACACGATTACCGATCGTCCTTGGGGGACTGTTCCACACCCAGCCCTGGTAGAAAAATGTCTCCCATAGCTGGGGTCAATTTGTTGAACACGGCCAGAAAAGGCGCAGCTGAATTCTGGGAAACTTTCCGAGAGTGAGTATCTGCATCACAACTTTATTCTCTTTGACATTTGTTCTCCCTGGGAGTGTCTACTTCATTCCGTCCGCATCTCTGTTCGTAAATTTTGTGACTTGGATCCATTGCTAACATACCCACCTGCACACCATTTTTCCTCTAACGTTTCTGTCTTATACCATTACTGTTTTTTAACTTGGGCGCTGCAGGTGATGTCATTGGTGCTTTTATCTAACTTGGATGCAACCTCCATTACTCGTTCCTTTGCATCTTTGTGTTGCCATTTCTTTAGGCGGTACTTACACTAAAATTGGAACGATACAGCGAAGCTCAGCATGGTCCCTGCGCAAGGATGACATGAAAAACCATGCATCGGCGCCTGAGGCCAGCAAGTGACGTAGCTGTGTTAGAGGTCACTGACGGACAGCCTCTGACCTCTATCACTGAAAGTACATCCACATTGGCGGAACACTGCTTCCGTGTTTACAAGTAGGTACGCGCCTATGCCGAGCTCGACGTGTGCAGCGGCTACTGAACTCCAGGGCCTGGATTGCGGTGTAGATGTCCGCACTCTTGACGGCACGAAACCTGCCGGACCCGATGGACTTCACCCGTTAATTTTAAAGTCCTAATCGGCCATCATCTCGCCTGCCGTGACGGATCTGTTCAACTGATCACTGTCCGAGGGTGCATTGTTAAGCGACTGGAAATGCGCGATAGCGAAGCCGATTCAAATCGGCTGTGACCTACGTACTGTGGACTATTACCGGCCGACTTGTCTCACCTCTATTTTGTCGAAGATGCTTGAGAAGATTGTGAAAAAGGGTCTTCCTCAGATCTCCAATCGCAGACACAGCACGGTTTTTGAAGGTTCGATCGTGCATCACCAACCTGCAGTTGACGCAGCAGGAATGGTGGCAAGCGTTGAACCGGGGGAAGTCAGTTATCTACATTGCTTTCGGTAAAGATTTCGATAAAGTGAACCATGAGATCCTGTTCCACAAGCTGAGGGTGTTGGTGGCGCACTGCACCTGTGAATCAGTGACTTCCTTATTGGGAAAACATGGTGGGTACAGCTGGATGACCACCTAACGGGCTGGTGCCCGTCCACTAACGGAATACCCCGAGGCACAGTGTTATGGCCCATTTTATCCCTGATCCACGGAAACGAAGTGCCTCAGCTTCTTCGGTCGTCTTGTGCACTGTTTGCAGAAGACTTGAAGATTTGGATTTGTGACGTCCTTCAGCAGGACCTCAACCGGCTATCCCGCTGGTCTGCAGAAGTTCACCTACTGGTCAACCCGGCCAAGTCCTCGTTTATGAGCCTGGAGAAGGGTGGAAATGGGCGTTCTTACACTCTAGCCGGCCACCTGCTGCATCCCACCAGTTCCGTAAAGAATCTAGACGTACTCTCACGCTGTGATCTGAAGTCTGTCGACAACACGAACAGACTGTACGCAGACGGGCTACGCCTGCTTTGGGCACTTAGACGCAACTTCTGTACTTGGTCGGAAGGGATTGTCACCCGTCTGTTCTCTTCCATGATAAGGCCGGTGCTTGAATACGGATCACCCGTCTATTGTCTGATCACATTAGGTCAGGTGCAGAGACTAGAACAGGTCCAGCATGTAGCTACTCGGCTCATCCCCGAATTAGGGGGTGTCGTACGAGGACCGATGTACTGCTTTATACTCTGTCATATCGTTGTTTTCAAGTTGGTCACATGATTACACACCGGATACTACACTCAAGTCACTTCCCTATGTTGAGATCTCTTCTGCACGTTTGCACACCAAGCAGCACACGAACACCGGTACAAACTGGTGGTACTGGGTTTAAAACGCATCGCTCACCCTCTATGCTTCGAACGTCGAGTGGTGAAATATTGGAAGAACTTTCCGGCGGCGAAATCGGTCTCGGAATGTAGGAGACCCCTTACGCCCACTTTGGGGACTACAGGTATAGAGAGCGTATCGCACCCGTATAGGATGTAATGCATCTACAATATGCTGCCACCGCGCAGGAATCAGCGACGTAATTCCGAACATGTGCCTGATCCACTTACGATGGAGCAACACAGATTGTTAGCTTTTCGTTCTCTATTCTCAGTATTCAGCAATATACCTCTACTGTTATTTTCTTTAGACGCTGCAGGTGATCTCATCGGTTCTTTAATAACTTGGATGCAATCTCCATTACCCGTTTCTTTTCCTCTTTATATTGCCATTTGTTTAAACCTGCCATCTGTTTTATCAACTCGGAAGTTGTGTTAGGTGTACTACCCTCCAGACGTTTGAGGTCATTTGACGCACGTGAGTTCTATTTGAGTTACGGCAAACAACTTCGCGCATGGTGTATATTACACCTGATGAATCACCACCAATCGGAACTCCCTTCCATTTTCCCACTTACAATGAGCCCTGTCTCGTGATTAGGTATTTGGACGAGTGGCGCTGAAAATCCACCTTACACTTCTCAAGTTAGTTATCCTTATTCTTTCAAAACATCTTTCGATTTGCTAGTGATGTGTTTCTGTGGCCAGTAAATGGCAGTGTGGGAATACTTCAGGATTCTTGTTCAATTAACCTAATACGGTCACCGATTTACGTGCTTTTTACGATACAAAACCACTTGGCCTTTCCTGCTGCCGATCATGCACTCCACGAACCGGATTACCTTGTTTTTATTATCCAGGTGGCGATGATGCGTACAGCCAGTACTCCAAAGTTGGATATTGATTTATTTACTATTAGGTAGTGGGCATTACGGTTCAGTGCAATCAACTCTCGGTCAGGCAGATTCCCACATGTCTGGAGAAGCACCAGAGGGACTTTCCAAACCTCTGGGTCTCACCAGTGGTGCGCATTCTTCGGACCCCTGTCGGTTTCCGACCCCATGTTTTCCAGATGCAAACAGCTTGTGCCATTAAGCAATGGGTGACGATGGCGGACCTGTATGAATGGCAGTTGAGCGACATAGCGTGACTCATACTCCACCTTCATGCCAGTTACGAACTGTGCAGACAGCAGTGGTTGGCCACAGAACTACCGCTCTCCGCATGGCCACTGCACGACACGGTACTTAGTTATACGGACGGATTTTTGATTACTAATGAGTAGTAGGGATTTCGGCTTAATTTATATGTATTTCATCGCAATCCCTGCACTAAATTTCAGTCAAGTGTCATCCATGCAGGCACACTGCCGTCACCTACAGCTTAGTGGTACAAACTGTTGGCATCCGGGAATCTTGGGGTCGGAGGAATGCACATCGCTTCCGAGACCCAGACGATCGAAACGGCCACTTGGTACTTACTCAGGCGTGTGGAGACCTGCCTGACCGTGAGGTCATTGCGACGAACTACATCTAAGTTATTTATTGATTCGAATTGACTCTTCACATAGCGTGGCTTATCATCGGTAAAAGTATCCATTATCCAACCACCATCGTGTGTCGGAGATCGAAATGGCCGCTATCCTTGGTAACCACCAGAAGTTATTCCGTCCGATACAGGAAATGGGCAGTAGGAGACCTGGTTCTAGTGAAATAATATGTGATGAGAGTGAACAGCCTATACACCTCATCAAAACGCTTGGAACCTTGGGCTGAGAACTTTGAAAGGCAGTTATGTCGGCCGGAATGGTCAGATTTCTCGCCAACCAATGATCACCCTGCTCCATGGGATGTCCCTTTGGATCCGCCTCTTACTCAGAAGTTATAAGTGAGATCGGACTACTGAAGTTGAGTAAGGCCGCTAGACTACATGATCTTCTTCCAGTCCTCTCTTAGTTCGGGGGACCTGGTCTTGCGGATGGTTTACACTTGTTACTAGTGAATACTGTATACTGAGAAAATGCAGCGAGTAGAGACGCCTTTGTGTAGCTCCATCTAATATCTTTTAGGCAAATCTACCTATTATGATATTGATCGTTCTCGAAACCTCAAGTCGGCAAAGTGCGAGTCCATGAGTTTCTTAAACTCTGACACCGACTTTGCTTTGACTATATCTGCAGGCAGGTTGTTCCAAATATTCACCGCCCTCCGCTCGAAGCAGAGGTGGTGAGGGACGCGCTTCAAATCAGGTACGAAATGCTTGTACCGGTGTCCTCATGTGCTGCTTGGTGTGCGCAGATGCAGCAGCGGCCTCAACATGGGATAATCACTCAGATGTAATATCCGGTGCGTCATGATGAGGTCAATCCACATTCGACGATAGAACAGGGTGTACAACCCTAGTCTTTTGCGCCAGTCTTCCTATCGTTTACCTCTTGAACCGGGGATGAGCCTTATGACCACCTGCTGTACCCGCTCAATCTTTTGCACCTCACCCTGGGTGAGCAAACAGTTGGCGACTGAGCTGTACTCTAGCATTGGTCTGTTGGTAAAAGAGATGGGGTGGGTGGCAACCTATTCGGACCAAGTGCAGCAACTGTGGGAGCAGGAAACTGTCCCAGCCGACTGAAGCCGCTCCGTTATTGTCCCGATCTTCACGGACGGCTCACGTTCGTAATGCGGCAATGATAGAGGAATCCGTCTGAACTCCATCGCCTCCAACTTACTTGCCTCTGTCATTCTTCACAGATTGACTGGCACCCGTGAAAACCAGGGTCGCAAGGAGCATGCTGGGTTTTGTCGATTTCGGGGCCGCATCGATCACGTATTCACTTTGCGCCAGTCGTTTCAGCACTGTCACGTATATTGGCCCACCGTTCTCGTGTCCCTCAACACTGTTCCTTCGATTCGGTGAATCAATGTGTTCTTTGGCATTGTCTACTCAGGAATGGTGTGCCCTTGAGGTATGTAAATATCATCCGAGCGCTTTACTCGCGTAGCTCGGGCAGGGTGAAGACTTAGGGCAAGCTGTCGCCGCTCTTCAATATCTTAATCGATGTATGACAGGAATGCTCACTGTCACCTTTCCGCTTTAACTTCGCTATTGACGAAGTCATGAAAATCGTGTTCACAGGTCACCACTTTGAAGGTGTAGAGTTGCTTCCATTTGGACGACTTCTTGACTTGAAGTGTGCTGGCGACATTGCCCTAATCTGTGCCAGCTCGCAAACGTGCCAAGCAACACTAGACAGGTTAGTGTTGTCAGCCGTTTCGGGATTTGCTTTGCGCCCTCGAAATGCAAAGCTTTCCTAGATTGGCATTGACCGCTTCCTTCATTGGCCCCTTTTCGGAATTAGCTAGACGTCGTTCCGAAATTTAACTACCTAGGCAGTTGTGGAATCGAAGAGGACCTCACAAACCGTATAGCAAACTTCGAGGCGCTTTTGCTAGCCTTCGCCATTTGCTGGTGGCGAGACATCATTCTCCCCTTGAAGGCTAGGGTGTACAATGCACCGAACGTTCGACCCTACTGTATGATCATGAAACCTGGCCCATCAGATCGACAGACGTAAAGCAGCTAGTTGCGTTCGACCAACGGTGTCTTCGCAGTTTGGCTCATATCTGGTGGAAACACCGTGTGCGCAATGAGCTTGTTCGACGCCTTCTTTATGACACAGACAGTGGAAGTGAACTGCTCAGCACTGTTATTCCACGCACCAGGCTCCGATGGCTTTGTCACGTTGCGCATGCCAGCCCACCGACTTCCGCGACGTACGTTGTTTCCGCGCTGGGGGTGTGGATAGAAGTGAGGCCAACGCACGACATTTTCAAAAAGAATGAAGGCCCTTAATTCCAAGTTAGCTCCGGTTAGAGCCTATCGGCTCCCTCGTTAGGGCCCGAAATGCGATGAGCACGTTTAGCTGAATACACTTGTTGACATTGCTAGGAACCGACCTCAGTGTTTTGTTTCTTTGTTCCCCCATTCCGCTTAGCCTCACCTTACAACCACGACCTTATTTCTGACGATTACTATAACTTTCGCGATACAACAGCCGGCTGAAGCGATGTTCATCCGTTATTACTGGCATAGCTGTCTTACCTATGTTGCGTTTTTTTTCTTCTTCATGTATTGCTGCACAAGAGTTGAGCTATTTCCTATCTCTTACTAACTGGTATAGTGATGATGCTGATCCAATCGCAATGTCCTGGGCTCGATTTCATGCGAAACGGTATCCATTAATTTAGTTCAAACAACCAACAACAACTTGCAATGAAATTTTGAGTGAGTTACACAAAGAATGTGCCTGCTGCGTCCCCAGGTTCGAATGGACCTAGATCTGGTTTGAGGTAACTTGTCGTCCATCTGGGATTTTGTGTTGCATTTCGGGCACTCGGCTCAAAAGCTTTCACAATGAGTCCGAAGTAAGAAGACATTTTGCAACGACGGCCGTTTCAGAACTTCGGTTACCGAACTTGTTTGCTTATTATCTTCACATTAGTCTTTAATTATGACTCTAACCTCATAATGGAATTTCCTGAACCGTTGGGCAAACGGTATAACTCGTTTGTTGATTTGCTTCACACCTCCCTAATTCATCACAACCCTTTCTGTCGACAGTCTGTCGTTAATCGCAGTCTTATTCTTTCTTCATTTCTACCATATAATTGCATTCTTGTTCTCTGTCCCATGTTCAACCGACGACTAGTGTCGGCCTTTCTATCTGCCCACTTAAGACGCTGTTCCTTAATATTGGAGCGTCACTGGTTTGCAGGTTGATAGCCTGGATGGCCCGGTGGCTTCTATTCAACTCGTGTAAGCGTCCTCTTCCGAGTAACGATTGAGAGCACATATGTTGAGTCGCGGCATCTGAACTACCACCTTCCGGCGCAACCAAGTGTAAGCCATATCAGTCGAGGGATCACAGTGCCATTTGTCTTCATCAGGGTTTCTTCGTTATTCGCTGACGTTCGATTCTTCGCTTTCTTCCACTGCGCTTTATTGTCCTTGCAAACTATGTCGCAATTCATTTTTTGTCTAGAATGGAGAGCCTTGAATTGAAATTTAAACTGACATCGAACACCCGGGCTTCCATCTCCGCCAACGAATCGAGGCTATCGCTCCTTGGCGGCATTCCTCGACAGACTGTCTCCATACAGCCACGTGTACATCGTCTGTTCAAGTGAGTTCCGCTATTCACCTGTCCTGTCCAATTTCACACTTAGTTTCGATTTGTTCTCCTCCACCCCCCAGCTACCTCACAGCCAACTTACACAATCACACTCCCTTTCACTGCCAACTATTATGAGAGAATTTCCGCTTCCACTTACTTTGTAAATCCGCGACATCTGTTTATAGCTTGTACGCAATTTGTTTCATCATTGGAGTCAACATAAGTACTTTTTCCTGTTCCCTTACGTTAGATGCCCATCACTTACTGCGCTTTTTCGTTGTCTTACAGTATTTACGTTAGATCGTTACTCTACCTCTGTGTTAGCTATAGAGTCATTACTGATCGATCATATTAGGCACTGAAGTTCCACTACTTTTGCCACCATGATGATAAAGACTAGAAGTGGTTGTAAGAACATGTATCAAGCGCAGTCACACAGGCGAATATCCAAAGTAGAGAAGATCGGTTACTCTGTCTCGCTCAGTCGAATGCCTAACATTGTCGTAGAGATGGTAGGTTGGATTCACTATCATCATCGGTCCCTCGACTTTATCCTCATAGATATGCCTAACCGCTCCCGTGGCCTTTACTGACTTATCATGTTCAAATCGACCATCTGTCAGTCAATTTCGTCTTGCCTCTATTCTCTATCGTCTGGTCCGCTTTTTGTAAACTCCAAGGTGATCTAACCAACATGGACGATTCATACCAAGGCGAGGGTCCAATTCTCTGATTTCACTACGTGTGAGTAACGCTTCACTATCACCGCTAGTCAAATGTGACGGATTTCTTACCTTCGCACGCAACATTCCTCCTTCTGTTACTTACAAAATATCGGCCATATTGCAATGGTGTGCCTCCCAGCTTCCATTGATAAGCCACTTGCACGCTGATTTTGTGCACTCTTGATGTGACACGCAAGAATGACCGATATCTATATCATAGAACCAGTCCATTACTTCTAGTGACTGCCGTTGACGGTGAGTATAGTTGACTCACTACTGCAACAATGCTTTTCACTTTTAAAACATGGGTCATGTCTATGCTTGCAACTCCTTACTTCCGTCTACCAATTAACTTCTCTATTTGATTTGTCTCGCCTGCGTCCTCTGAGTTTCTCCACGGCTTACTTTATTTACGTGATGTTGGCACCCGTCGGAGCTCTTCTTTACTTGCTTTTTATTTGCTACTTTAACCTGGAGACTGTTGCCTTTTGCCTTGCTTTCTGTTTCTATCTTTTTTCACTCTTACATAAATTATCCTTCATCCCAACCCAACTCGAATCATCGATTGTACGAACATGATTCGTTGTCGTAACGCTCGGTTTATGATAGCATTATCAGGTCTTTCGTGCTATAATGAAACTCTCATGCATCATCTCTTGGAGTTCCGTTTCCCCATAAAAATGATAGCATTTGCTCTACTGACTTGCTCCATCGTACTGTAGTGCTCGGGGCATGATCACTTGTTCCCTTTAGTTAACGCTGATAGGGTTCCACTCTCGGAGTTCAGCCAACTTAAAAGAACCACGTTCGATGTCACTGCAAACCATGTCAGCGTTTTACACTCAGCCTTTTCATTGTGTCTTCATTTTGAAGCACCCTCAATGTGGAGCGCGATTTACTTTGATGAATCTCAGTCATTTGAGCCACTGGGGGACCACATCCGAAGCGCGTGAATGTTATTATTGAGTTGCTCGCTCGCTCGCAACACACTACGCTCCACGACCAGTTTCGTATGCATTTGCGCTTTTCAAGTGGACCTAGCTGATCTGCGACTGGAAACCTACACTTGTGGATTGCCAGCCAAATATCTTGGACCACTGTTCCACAAGCAGCGCTTGCTACAATGGTTCATAACTAAGTGGGGGTTTTTTTGAAATGCCCGCCGTGTGAATTGTCCCTCCCTTTTTTACTAACGTTCACACGTTTCCGTACTTATTTTTGTAGATCCATTTACACCCCTCCTCCAAAGCGCAACGTTCAGTCTCGTGAGACGAAGACCACTGACTCCACCCGTTTTCCTGCCGATAATCCGCCTGCAATCGATCAACGCATTCCAGTCTCCATACTTAAGGTGAACTATGTTTGCGCAAAATCGACCTTTTTCACACGAACTTGTTTTTCCGAATCCCATTGAGTAGTGCACGACCCATGGTCTCACATACCACATTTTTGAGGATGCTAACGGTTTTGCGCTATAGAATGTTTATGCAACGGTGGTATTCTGTAAAACCCAACTCGTATATGCCCATCTTCCTTCTTTCTTTGCCTTGGGAGCGAATGACATGCCTTTGCTTTGTGGGCACCTACCCCTCTGCTTCTCTGTATTCCTCTGTCATATACATCGGTAACTCCCTCTCCCCCCCCCGCTTTCGTATTGGAATCACGTTTTCTGTCGCTCATAATGGTCACGAAAGTTATGATTACTTCTACCTAACTTGTGACTTGAACGTTTGTCATTATTTTGTCGAATTACTTTGCTCTTTCTCGAATTTTTAACCCATATTCCTTCCGTTGGGCTTTATATACGTAGCCGACATGTTTTCAAGCCTTTAGCATCATTTGCATTTCTCAACACCGCTGGTCATATCGCATTGTTTTCTTCCTACACTTTCGCAACCCCCCCCCCCAATATTCACCCTTTGGCGCAGCTATCCGTTACTGGCTATCGCACGTCGCAGGCTTTTTATATCTTAGAGGAGCGTGTTCATCCACTTGAGTTCGTTGTGGCTTTCTGCAAGCTGTTGAATTCGTGTTTCGCATGATACACAGGTTACACAATGGAGATAAACGGGCTAAACCTCTCTGCCTGAGTTGCACAGTTGATGCAATACTGTGTTCGTCCCATATGACAATACCAACCCAGGAAACTAACCTCAGTGACTTCGATCGTCATTTTTCCTCTAGACCCAAAAAATTCCCTTTTCCCAAGTCTATTTATCTGTTGTATGAAGTTTCTATCTACAAAACTAGTGTAAAGGACTTAGAATGAAATAGCTCGCTCAACTAGGTTTTATGAGATGCGGGTTGTTCTTGCGACTCGGACAACTTAGGGCTTACATGTCCCGTCCGGCAGGGACTTTTATTACAACAGTGGAAGCGTCTGCGTAATCTGCGAGTCGACAGCACCTGAGCCCGATTGACCCATTCTGCCATTCATAAAAGGCATTGGCAATTCATCGATGGTTTGTCTCACCTATATCTTCTCTACTGCATGATGCGCTTGGGAGGTGTTTTTTTTGACTTCTGATTTCTTACTACGGTCAACCGGCTTCGTAATGACTTCATCACAACATTAACCTTACCAGCATTCCCCCCCCCCCAAAACACCATGCTACAAAACTCATCGGTCTAACAGAAAGTCAAAACTGAAGACTAGGTTAACTTCTATTCAGCTAGTAAACACTGGCCATCTATTTTCACCCCATCAGTTAATGTAATACCCTCATCTAGATGGTCATCAATGACCTCATTCACTCATCTAAAGACTGCCTTGATTGTGCTATACCGGAAGAACTCTCCTTTATTATGAACTTCAGGGATGTTGCCCTAGTCCATAGTGTTTTCTCCAATTTACATTTACAAATGATGTGCATTAGAACTACAATATATTTCCTGTTATCATAAACTTTGTGGTCTAGAAGCTTATCCCAACACTGTCCCATCGGTTTCTCCCTAGCTCGAATGTCCATCTAAGTATACGTATGTGATTCGCCTCAATCGTTCCCAAACCCCTATGCAAGCGCTGGTGTTGAATGTCATTTTTGTTTTAGACGCAATACGCGCTTATTTGCCTGATGCGTACTGTGAGGTCGTATTGCAGCATCTATGTTTCGTTGAGAGCCATTCGGTTTGAGGTCTCTCACAAATAGGGTCTGGTTACCCCATGTGTGTAAGGCTGGAGTATTCAATTCTCGTCCGATTCACTGGAAGTACGCTCGTGCGACCGGCACGACGATGCAATCATATTTTAAACGCGTAAGAACATTGGAAGACAAGTGTTGTGGGATGATACTGTCATTTCGTGCATTTTCATCGGTCATCTAAATGCACATAACAAAGAAACCAAATTAAGATCACATAAATCCAATTGTTGGTCAACTGGATTACGATTGTGCGTTACTCTCTACCACGGAAGGCTTAACGTCACAGTCAGCTGTTTTTTGACATAGGACGTTGGGCACTGTCTATGTCTTTTTTGAATTATAAAGGGAACTTCATATTTCAAACGCCTTCAAATCGTGAGTGTGTTATCATGTTATGTTTAAAATAGTGTCCTTTTGCGATAAGGAGTCATTAGAATCAGTGATTTTGCGTTGTTTCCTGCTATCTTTTTAATTTCACTCTGCGTTATAATTTTACGTTGTATACCCTACATCCCCGATTCTGACATGTGTCTTTCCTTATCCAGTCCCCTGCGCTTAGAAGCACCTTCTCAACTCCCCCTTGTTTGTCCCATTCTCCGGATTCAAAACTGGCCAGTGATGTACTTCCGCTGAATGCAACACTGAGCGACGATATGGACGTCACTCTAAACTTGTCTACTGTTCGACCGAGTAAGCCTGCTCCTCACAGGGTTTTCACTTGCGGAGTGACGGATATTGCGTATACATCGTACTTTTTGGGACTATTTTCGCCTAACTCTTAGGATCATACACACACACACACACCAAGGGTGGATGAACATTTTTATTTTGGGGCGTTATTGGAGTACTTGGCAACTTTTTAACTCTACCGCTAACAGTTGTTTACATAAGTTGTGTAAGGTCAGAATCTTACTTTTTTGATTACTCCAGAGATATATACATAAGCTGAGACTGATGTTGCATTAGTGATGTTTCTTCACCGCTGTTCGCTATGTCAACTTACACTTAAACTAGGTCTATTTAAGCTGGATAAATTTCATTCCACTTTACTTGGTTTGTTCTGCCTACCTGAATAATCCTGTATTAACTTGCACACGTTGCTTACGCTAATTGTGGTTATCTTCGTTAACTTTATTGCGTTTATAGCATTTTTTGAGTAACTTCTGGACATTTTGTACTTATCGCGGATTCGTTGCTAACCAACTTACTTCATATGCTAATTTAGGGTAGAGTTATGTCTGCATAGCCGTATTCTTTAACAAATATATTTTATTTGATAAGGTCATTTGAAGTGATTGGCTGTGGCTGCGCTTGATGTGCATGTTGACATGGTGCCTACCTGTCTATTACCCACTACCTCGTCCATACTGCCTCTAGGAGGCAGTTGGTCGTTGCTGGAGGGGACGGGGTGCACGGTCGTTGTGGCCGTGCTAGGCTCGAAGAGTGGTTCCATGCAGTCAGTGTGAAGCGGACTACTGTCCAGCCACCGCCTTGTGTGCGCTTGATTCCCCAAATACAGCGTGCTTGTGTTTGCCTGTGAAGGAGTGTGGGCGGACTCCGTTGATGAAACGTGGCTCCTATCCACATGCCTCCCGGTCTTATTTTTTCGGGTTTACACTGGATATTGGGTGTGTGGTTGGAGCTGTGAGTGGTGCAGCGCAAGCCACCCATGGTCCATCTGTAGGCGCAGGCGTCCTGTGGCTGTCCCCGTGGAGGCCGCAGTGACAGGCAAATTTGGTAACGGTTACTCCCAACCGTATATATACATATATATATCTTACTTGATATTAAGTATTTTTCAAAACACGTCTAACATTTTGCAAACTCTCATCATGCCTCTTAGATCGTATCTCGCATAATAGAAACTGAACTTAATTTACTTATTTACATTGACCATTTTGCAACGAAATTTGGACGCACTGCATTCCAGTGAGAAAAGCAGCCATGTTAGTAAGAATAGAGGAGTAAGGCGGCTTGACGATGGTCAGACCACATTTTCCTCTTACTAATGAACGTTGTAAGCAACAGACGTTTGTGCAAGCCACCTTTCCTGATCTTGGGAATGGTTCACTTCTTCCAAAGTCGGCTCTGTGTCTAGTTGATCGTTGAGATTACATAATACCTACAAAGTCGGTGATCCGGTTTTCCCTTTTCCTCTATGTGCCTTCGCGTGTTTTGTATGGGTGTGTGAACGAAGTTTTGCAGCTGCATGACTATTGGAACAGTTTAGGTTGTTGTGATTCCAGAAAACAATCTAACCTCACTGACCTGCTGCACGGAACGACAAAAATGAGCGGCGAACGATGAGAGGACTCAACTCAGAGGCAGCGACAGTACCAGAGAACCTCATCGGCACAAAAGTGATTCTTACCAAGCTTTTGTTCGTTGATGGCAGAACTACCCCCGAAGCTACGGAAGTCGCCAATGTCAACGAGAGCACGGCAAGGAACATCATCAATATCTACAGGGGAGAAGGTAAGAATACTCCGCGGAAACGTTGAGGAAACAACAGGAAAGAGCTGATTCCCGATGTTCTGCAGCGCATTGAAGACACCGTTGAACGGTATGCCGAGGATGCTTTGGTACGGTTGCAGCAGTGGCTGAGAGAGCACGGGATACACCTTTGTGAGTCTACGGTCTTCAACGTTCTCAGAAGGGTCAAGGTTGTGCTCAGGAAGTGCCACTACGAGCTAGACCGCGTCAGCAATGTTATGACAATCGAAACCTGTCAGACCAACGCTTTGGGACTCTCGATACTCGCCCTACTCTTTGCAAATCCCAACAGTTTGGTTTTAAAAGTGCAAACTTTAAAGTGAGATCGATGTATTAATAAGAAGGAAGGCAATGTTGTTTAAAGGCTGTCTGACTGCTGCGTTTCCCAGGTTTTGCATCATATTGTGGACCCAATTTTTCCAGTCCTGCTAGGTTACCGTGCCAACGCTCTCTTGAATGACCGCGCTTGGCATCAGTCCAGGCGTCAGGTTGGTCAGCAGGCCTCTCGTCGACGCTTTCACCTTCGAAAACACATTGTTTACTTTGCATAGCATGTACTAGTAGCGCGACAGGAACTTCTTCCGATAGGACGCGTGTGGCTTCTGGCGTTGTTCACGATCAGCCACGCGCCGTTCCTTTCCACTCCGCAGCGTATGCGTTCCACAAGCTCTTCGGCGAACATCGAGAATTCTGCACCATTGCAAGTGCAATTGATGATCATTGGGTGAACGATGCCTTGCTTATTCATGGCCACAATCAGTATCACTATGCGACCTCTGACTGTGAGCAGGGTGACGTTCTCGCGCATCTCCCTTCTTCAGCAAGCCTGTGCCTACCACAAATGGGGATTGAACCTGCTTTCATTTTTGAAAATGCATTTCTCCTTATCATGTGGGGCGTATAACGAGAAGTTGGGACTGTAGGTCTGTTAGCTAACGATTTTCGTCGCATTGTTGACGCGGTCTAGCTCGTAGTGGCACTTCCTGAGCACAACCTTGACCCTTCTGAGAACGTTGAAGACCGTAGACTCACAAAGGTGTATCCCGTGCTCTCTCAGCCACTGCTGCAGCTGTACCAAAGCATCCTCGGCATACCGTTCAACGGTGTCTTCAAGGCGCTGCAGGACATCGGGAATCAGCTCTTTCCTGTTGTTTCCTCAACGTTTCCGCGGAGTATTCTTACCTTCTCCCCTGTAGATATTGATGATGTTCCTTGCCGTGCTCTCGTTGACATTGGCGACTTCCGTAGCTTCGGGGGTAGTTCTGCCGTCAACGAACAAAAGCTTGGTAAGAATCACTTTTGTGCCGATGAGGTTCTCTGGTACTGTCGCTGCCTCTGAGTTGAGTCCTCTCGCCGTTCGCCACTCATTTTTGTCGTTCCGTGCAGCAGGTTAGTGAGGTTAGACTGTTTTCTGGAATCACAACAACCTAAACTGTTCCAATAGTCATGCAGCTGCAAAACTTCGCTCACACACCCATACAAAACACGCAAAGATTCCCAGAGAGACAGGGGAAAACTGGGTTACTGCCTTTGACCGAGGGGAAGGGGACTTGCGCAATCGCCTGCTGTTTACAATGTTCACTAGTAAGACGACACTGGTCTGAACATCGTCCAGTCGCCTTACCCTTTATTGCTTGTTAACACATTGCTCATCTTCTCACTATACTGCAATGTGTCCAATTTAAGCTAAAAACGGTATTTGACAAGTTAAGGCTGGTGAAGCAGATACAGTGTTTTATCTTCTCATTCAGGCTCAAATCTGTTAACTCTCTCGGAAGTACCATTTACGTTAACCCTCCATTTCCTGTGCTATCTTCTGTTTGGCTGCGCCTGGGGTAAATCTGGACAAGGTGCCTACATGTTTAGCACCCTCCATCTCGATTACTGACTCCAGGTAATTGTGCGTCCTTGCTGGGCGGACGGGGTTCACGTTCCTCGTGGTGCTAGGCGCAAAGAGTGTTTACATGCAGTGTGGAGTGGACTACCCACCGCCTCATGTACGTCTGTTACACATTATTCCCCACAGATAGACAGGAATGCTACTGCTGTCCATGTTGAAGAAGTGTGTGCCGGATCCTTTGATGAAACGTGACTCCCATCCACATGCCTACCGATCTTATTCCTTCTGGTTTACATTGGATATGGAGCGTGTGGATAGGGTTGTGGACGGTACAGCGTAAGTCACTCATGGTCCTTCTGTAGGTGCAATCGGCTGTCTTGTGGAGGACAGCTATGACAGGCAGATCCGGAGACGGAAAGCAGCAACCATATAGATACATTTTGCAACCGTTCTTACCTGATGTATTCTATTACCGAATATTCCTAGGAACTTTATGTGTTCTTTTGGTACTAATGATTTCTAGCCCTCGAGTTTTCTGTTGTTTCAATGTGATTTTTATATTTTGGTCCGACAACTTGTTCCATTTTCGTTTATTGCAACCTCCCGTTTGGCTAGTAAGACAATGAAAGTGGACGCCGGGTGCTAAATTTCCCTCCTCTTTTTCCCACAGTTTTCCTTCTGGCTAGCAAATATTGTGCAGCCGGATTATACCGCTCGCGCTGTTCATTTTGTCAGGTATCCGGCCCACAGTGAAAAATGTTTGGTGACCCCTGGAATATGTCATTAGCCAATTTCTCCCTCCTACTTCTGTGGCGGCTGGTTGTCAAACGTTCACTGCCATGATGACATAAACCTCTTTAGAGAGAACCCATGGGGTATGCAAGCATTGCTGAGTAGTAGGCCGACGCGTAGCACTGCACGCTCTGGTAAGTGCTATGCGCCCTCAAAGTGTCAAGTACATTTACAGAACTGGGACAGCACACCACATCCATGGAAAAACCGCTTAAAATTGCCTGTCGGTCTACTTATCTGATTGGCAGCATTACATCTATCAATTATTTTACCGAAAAGGTTACCCCACGCGACTTTTCAAAGCCTCGTTCATTTATGAAGAGACCACGGGATGTGGACCTGTTGATCGAGGATCAGGTTTACAACACTGCATTGCGGCCAGTGTCGTTATGTGAATCATCAACCTGGCTCGGATGCACTGATGAGATAATGTGCTTGACGAATTTTGACTCTCGGTTTTCTGCGCACTTTTGTACATATCGGTAGAAGAAATGAGTCAGCGACACTGACAACAAGCCCTCTGGCGCGTCATTAAAGTCACTTAAATTCAACTTGTCTCCAGCGTCTCGATAATGTGTTTCATGTACCCACGAGTCGGCTCCGGCATCGTGTGTTGTTTTCAAATACTGCATCCAGCTGTATAAAAACCCCAGGTAATCTGTCTCTGGCATGACAGATGGGTATGAAGATACCGAAAGGCTGGGTCGGGTTAGTGTTCATTGTCTTCTCTCTTGGGGATCTCTGGTTCGGCCACGTCTGTTGCTAACATCTCTATCGGATATAGCACCCTTGCATTAGTTCCTTTATTTTTAACCAAAATCACTCCATGTAGTGATTTTATTACTCGTTCGTTCTTCTGTTATCGTTATTATCATCACCAACACTATTACCTTGGGTACGGAAGTCTAGGCGACTTGATCCACCGCAGCTCGATGTACGCATATATATTGTTGAATCGAACCAACACTTAGTCAATCCCTCCCAGCCTGCCCCTAATTGTATTAGTTCACTAGACTCTTTATTGGTGTACGCTTTATCCCTCTCTTCTTTTATGCTCCTTTCGTTGTTGTCTCAGGCCTGAATGCTACTCCCATCCTGCATCCAGTTTCACGGATCGTTTCCACCACCGTGTACCATTTCTCCGCGCCCAAATCTGTTTCCTCGCCGTCCAGTGTAAGAGCCTCCTCTTTGCTCGCTGTATCTTGTGTTTTCACCGTCGAATTGTATTCGTCTTTGACCTTAACTGGAGTTCATTCAACCACTCGGTCCACACACTATTTTCGGCTGTTCTAGAATGTAGATTCCACAATTATTCCCTTACATTCGAAGTGCCACATTGTGTTAAGGGCAGCTCACCTACACCAGTCACTCACTTCGTTGTCATTATGTTTGGGGCTGTGTTCATTCAAACGTGTACTATCAATGTCACTTTCAGGCACCTGCTACCGAATCTGTGGAGGCGGACTCCAAGTCGTCCAAATTTCAGTTTGCTGCTCCTTTCACTTATCCTTCCACTGAAGTCAGAAATTCATCACCCATCAAATCTCTGTGCTCGCCCCGAAAACCTCTTCATCCTCTTTCTGAAGTGACGCGTACTGCGGAAGACGCCAGTGTGGGGTATGTAGTTTATCATCATTTTTGTGTGTGATAGCCTAATCGTGTCACACTTATAAATTGAATTAATAACTGGTGTGGAACTAGCACAATTCACTGCTGGAGAACGCTGTCAGACCAGCGCACACATCCATTTGCCATTCATATCGCTTTGTATTCAAGTATGCTACTTTTGTACTTGACGGTTTGGAAAATTCACAATATTTCTTTTCTTCCCATGTGAAGTTGTTGGGCCTTTCATCTAAAGATTTATGACAGCCTTCACGAGGGCGTTACACTCAGATGTGTTATTTTTTGATTGTTTGTGCTTCCACGTACTCAGTGTGGCACCACCGTGCTCTACTTTCGATGCGATGGGGGTTTGCAATCTCACTCTCTCTGCTTGCTCCGTATCGAACGTGACGTTTCACTGACGATTGAAAATGTCATAAAGCAAATCGTATCGGATGATGAAGCTGGTTGTGGACTTCCCGTGACTTTCATTTGGTGCTGGTTCTGTTCTGACCGTTTTAACCTCTTTGCATCCCTTCATCTTTAATCTTGTCGCCCGGCAAATTTCACGTAGATAACAGCCAGACCGTTGGTTGCCGATATGCGTGCACCCGTGTCTCGCACTGTTGCTTCTTTATCTTCATCTTCAACAGGGCAACACACCGACCATTCTAACTGAGGCTTCTCTGCCTTGCAGCCTAATGACTTACGGAATTAGGGCCACTATAATATGGAGAAGAGGGACCTAAGGTGATACGCAAGCACCGGAGGTAAATATTCAGAAGGTAGGCGCCTACACCTTGTCACCCACGTATGGTCACAAACAGCTATCTATCGTGCGAAGGTAAAGCAGCATTGGCGAGATAGCGTATTTGCGGTTTTCAGTGTCCCACCTCATTATCAGCCTTAATCCATAGCTAACCAAACATCATATCCAATTTAAACATATTGTTCGACTGTGGGAAGTCATGAAGCACACGACTGGTGTCGACTATGGGCTATGTCCTGTAATGTCTGGGGCTAAGCACAGATCGGGTCGCATACAATCCAGTCTAGGAAGTGAGATGGACCAACAGCACTCAGCTTAATAATAATGATAATAATGTGTCAGCTGTACGCCGTAACGGCGCTTCGCTGCCGCGCGACCACTACCAGTCGTGCGCGGGCTGAGTATACCGCGAGGACGCTCACCCCTACACGGATTCGAACCGGTGACCTTATGGTTGCAAAGCAAACGTGCAGACCACTCGGCCACCGGACCACCGGCTTAGTTGGCAGCGACTAACATCTCAGCAGATTGAACAGGAATGTAAGAGAATTAGACACTTTGAGTCATTATTCACTTCCGCTTATCAGGCTGGACTCGAGCGCTGCAGCGCCTCGCCATACGTTAAACTAGGAAACAGCTGTGCAAGATGAGTGAAACGTGTAGTTAAAATAGACTACCTCGACACTTTTTGAAGGGGATATACCCACCGGAACAATTGAACAACGAATCGTGCGCAATTCACAGTGCTCTTCTTTCTAGAACCGTTCACCTCCACAGTCGATTTCGAGACTTTTATCCATTAAAGTAGCGCACACCAACCCAGCTCAGTCTTGCTTAAACCTTCTGACCAAACACGCCGCTTCTGGTTCCTGATCATACCTTCCACTTGAAGCAACTATACCGCATACATGCAAACCCCTTTTTACCGGTCCTATTTAGTACATGTTCATTTTCATTTACCGACATTCTCACAGCTCGAGTTAGCGTTGATAACCGTCCATGCTTTCGTGCATGCGCGCGCCGTGAATCCTCCCTTTTGGTACGCCTACCTAGATTACAGACTGATTGCTTAGACTATCGATCCATTCCTTTAACTCGTGTCTGATTGGGTTGCTTAGTCGGTTGTGGGTCTGGTTGGTGTTTAGTTATCTGTTTCTTCCGTTTGGTCCCGCTTGACGGCCGGTTGTATTTTGAGAACAGCATTATTGTACACTTTGTGGTGGATATTGTCGAGGCCAATTTCACATTTGTTGCCCTAGCCCTTCGTAAAAATAGCAGCGTATCTTACTTCTGGTTTTGACTTTTGCATTGATCTGAGAGTCTTTGATGTTGCTCGGATCCACTACCGAATCTTTAGTATCCTTTCCTCAACTGTCTACTCTTAGACTCTGCGCATTATCGACAAGCCGTACAATGTGGTTACTGATCAACAGGCTTGCATTCATCGATCAAGTTGAACTAATGTGTCCATACAACGCCGATTGGTCTGTTAAATTTGAATTAACTAGTGAATCTCCCCAATGCTAGTTCAATTGCCCGGCCATAAACGAGGATTAATTCGCTAACCAATTTCCGGGAACAGGCAGTCTCTGATCCATGCATCAACGTTTCACTCCATGTGGTTCAACGTTTCTATAACCAGTTGAAGCTTCTAAACGCCGGTTAGATCTCACCGATCAGCAGAAACTTCCATTAAACCCGTCTTCCTATTATTCAAGAACATATTTTAAACGTTTCATATTCATATTCTTAAGGAGCTTACCAATCCTGATAAAGACATACTTCACAGTACAACACAGTGACACAACAATCAACAGTTTTGCCCTGGCACGGTTGAAAATCGATTCATATCACTGTCGTACGCTTGCCGATCATTCGTGGCCCTTGCGCTAAAAATGCTTTCAATTCCCTGAACATGCCAAAACAGGTGTGTCTCATTGAAAACGAGCATATACAATTTATTTATTTATTTGATGCAGATGGAACCTGATGTACAAATGATCGTTCCACAAAATGGAACATATCCCACCCGTCGGATAATATACCCACTTTTATTTATTCAAGTAGCTGTTGACTTTAGATGTACAAAGTCAGTTAAGATCTACTAGCTATAATCGTCATTCAAGTCACGGAAACCCATTATGGTATGATGTTTATATGGCTGGCGGCATCCGGTTTCGGATTTGCCTGTCACTGTGACAAGCCACAGGACGCCTGCGCCTACATAGGGACCATGGATGGCTTGAGCTGCACCACCCACAGCTCCAACCACACACCCCATATCCAGTGTAAACCCGAAGGAATAAGACCGGGAGCCACGTTTCATCAACGGAGCCGGCCCACACTCCTTCACACGCAAACACAAGCACACTGTATTTGGGGAATCAAGCGCACACAAGGCGGTGGCTGGACCGTCGTCCGCTCCACACTGAGTGCAAGGAACCACTCTTTGAGCCTAGCACGGCCACAAGGACCGTGCACCCCGTCCCCTCCAGCAACGACCAGCTGTCTCCTGGAGCCAGTATGGACGAGGTAGTGGGTAATAGACAGGTAGGCACCTTGTCAACATGCACATCAAGCGCAGCCACATCGGGGATATCAAACAACAGCCAATCACTTGAACCGACAAAATGAAATAAAATAAATCCAATAATGCATACAGCTACGGTGGCATAACTCTTCGCTAAATTAGTATATGGAGTAATTTGGTTAGCAATGAATCCGCGATAAGGAAAAAGAATGTTCACAAGTTACTCAAAAACGCTTCAAACGCAACAAAATTACCGAAGATAAGCGCAATTAGCGTAAACAACGTGGCCAGCTAATAGAAGACTATCCAGATAGTCAAAACAAACCAAATGAACTGGAATGAAATTTATGCAGCTTAAGGAGACCTAGTTTAAGTGTAACTTGGTTTAGCCCAACTGCGGTGAAGAAGCATCAAGAATGCAACATCAGCCTCAGCATGGGGCATATATATATATATATATATATATATATATATATATGGCACTGTTAAAACCTCGCCAGAAAAGCCTCTGCTCTTTGGTGTAGGTCAACGATACATCATTCGTTCCGGGTCTGTCAGAACCAGTGAATAATCGGAGTGGTGCTCTGTAGTCGGTAGTGACAGGATCGACACAAGTATCACCTTCGTACGATGTCTTAGGCATAAGAACAACAACTGCCCTTGTATAGACCGGTAAGACCATGCACATGCGTGTTCCGTCGTGTCTCAACAAAGATGAGAGAAAGTCTTCCGGGTAGGCGCTTGGCACGCATCTCGGTAAAATTCATAGAAAAACTACAGTGCACCAAAGCACATGCCATGTGCTCGAACACCGCAAGCCGCGTCAGGGTGTGCGGTGGCTTGTCGGATGTCTTTTTTACAACAAGTGGTGTTCGTCAGGGTTACCCATTTTCCTCGTATCTGCTCAACATCGCCATGGACACTATCATGGATCGTTTTCTTGCGTAATCTCACGATTCAGACGTTGTGGTGCTGCCTGGTGAAAGCTAGCTCATTTTGATTATACGAACGATATTGTCTTGCTATTTAATGACATTGAGAAAACCCATTCAACTCTGTCTAAGCTCTCTATAGAGGGGTCCCATCCTTTGGCATACGCTTCTCACCAAAGTGTAAAATCTTGTTGCAGGACCACCAGCGACTTCATAACGAGGAACTCGAAGTAGTCCATCTCTTCATCTACCTTGGCAGTTGCATCAGCAATTATGGGGGCATAGCAACTGAAATCAGTTCACATATTGCGAAAGCTAGGGCTGCTTTTTGAATCTGCGACATCTTTGGCGACAGAAAGGCATTTCCCTCCGCTTGAAAGTCTGTGTTTACAAGGCCACAGTGAGCGTCGTCCTATTCTATGCTAGTGCGACTTGGCCCCTTCGGTCTGAGGACCTATGGCTCCTTCAAGTTTTTGCTCATCGTTGTCTGCGAAGCATTGTCAGTGTCAGATGGCACCAGCATGTCCGCAAAGCTGATGTGCGTAAGTGAGTACTAGGCAGTGATAACCTGGCTAGCTCCTTAGAACAACAAATAGCACTGAATAAGTTAGGTTGGCTTTGGCACGTACTAAGTATGCCTGATCACCGTTTACCGAGGTGGGCGTTGTTTTCTTTGTCTGATGTAGGATGGCGCAAGTCTCGAGGTGATCAAAAGTTTACTTGGTAGCGTGAAGTGAAGCTACTGACTCTAAAACTGGATACCGTCGGTCTATCTTGCCTATCAGGCTGGCGTTCACGTGAACCGCCTTGTCTTTGGCTTGAGACGTTAGAGGACATGGTTCGCAGTCAGCACCAGTGACGTGTCTGCTACCGTCGGGTAGTCGGACTGACAGTTTAGGTTGTGTTTTGTGCCGAGTTATCTGCGAGGTAATCGCTGGTTATGACGTGGGGCAGTGAAAACTGCAAGGAAGCTGTCTGGCTGATGCCGTTTTATCTTTTCACGATACCCAGCCGTTTGTGACGAATATGTTGACAAGGTATAGGCGCCTTGCTCCTCTTAATAGGATTCGTTCCTTGGATCGTCGTGGTTGTACGGCAGCGAAGCATCAGTTCAACTGGCTGACGTACCGCTGTTATTGTTTTCTATTGCTTCGTTTAAACAATTCTAAACTAAGTGTCAAGTCAGTACGACCGAGATTATACCCTGTCGGCTGTCTTTCTCATATATGGTTTCACAAGCTACCACACTTCTTCTGTCACCGCTTTAGATAAGTTCGTGCATCACGTTGCTTTTTCTAGTAGCAGTAGCCCGGTCCACTTTCGCTTTTCTCACCGACACCAGAGCAATCCTAACACTTGAGCAGATAACTTTCCAAAATGATGCCACTACTCCGAAGCCGCTTTTTTTCATTGGGACCAAGCTCCGCGCTTTACTCAAGCGGATCAGAGCCACGGTACTTCGTATGCTACTCGGATGCTTTAAGCATCTGGGGCATTCTTTATGACACATCGTTGGCGATTCAAGTCACCATTTGGCTCATCTAGCAAGCACAACTGTCGTCCCAGCACAGATTACTAATGTTACTTGGTACACTGTGAATCGAGTTGCCGAATCGGTAGTCTCAAAGTTTCCCGGGGCAGGGAAGTGAGTGCGTACTACCGTGTGACCAGAATTCAGGCGGTTGATATCGATCGACTTTGTTGATGTGCGTTATCTACTGGCTATGATAATACGGTCGGTTTTGTTCCAGCTCATCCTTTCGCAAGATGTAAACAAGTCGTTGCTGTGGTTCTTCTGCTTAGTAGCACACCATGTAACATATGAATGCACTTTATGGGGATGGATCTTGTTGGCGTTTCCCTTTACTTCTGTTTTGAATACATGCGTTTTAGTTGGTACACGAATGTACTAACCGACCGCCGTAATCAACCTGATATCCATCAAGTCCAAATCATCTGCATAGACATGAGAAGTGCGCTGATCCTGAGGTTCTGGGTGCGAATGATTCACCCCAACTTCTCTTTTCTAACCGACATTTTGGAATGCTCATACCTTTACTCTTTGTCGCACTAGTCTGCTTTGCAGGTGTTCGTAGTTTGTGACAGCTCGGGTTCGTCGCCGCGGATTTCTTTCAAGATCTGGTTTTGGACGGTTCAGTGAAGCTACTCGGGGGATTGATGCGCTCTCCTTCATCATACCAGATGTTACACCTGTGACCACGGCTAACGGCACTGTGGTTGTTATCAGGTTCACAGCTTATAGCTCAACCACTGTTTGTTTTGGCCGACAAACATTACGTGCTATCCCTTCAGAGACAATCGGCTGCGTATTAACTCACAGTATGCTGTCTCCCATGGCTCCGTTTGTGTTGAACAGGATCAGCGAGTTTTACTCTTATGAGCACCAACATGGACTTTTTTGACCTTAAGACATTGACTGGTTGCGTAATCGGCTCTAAAGGCATTCGGGTATGGCCATTCAGCGTAGCTCAATCAGTCATAGTGCTCTGCAAACCATCACATCACTTTGACACATTTCCATTTCGCTGATTCTGTAAGCATTCGTTTTCCGAAGTGGGACATTTATGGTATGTAGCACTAGGTGCAGTTACCAGCCATCCGCCCTCCAAATTTGGGCGCATCACCTCACCCGTGTTTGTTGTCTTTGCTACTACTGCTTTACTTTTATAAACCCCGCATAGTATTACTGTTCCTATGCGCTTAATCTTCCCACGGCTCCCCGCTCCTGCAACGCGGTGGTCATTTTCGCACTTGCATTCAAAGTTGACTCGCTGTTGGTCTAAGCTACTTTTGTCTAGTTGGTTCTCTTATCGCTGCCTAATAAACACTGCAAAATTGAGCAAGTCTCTGACCGGCGCTTCATTTGTTCTCCTTTCTGTAGTTATCTTCTTTCACCTAACATAATTTCTATCGTTTATGGTTCGTTGTCTATTTTTGTTATCCCATCAGTCAAACGGCTAAGCTCGACTCGCTACCACCCACCAGTGGCAGCGTCAGATTGGCGGAACCTACTGTTCACAAACCTAGTCAGATACTTCCTCCATGGCGGTTCATCTCGTCTACAGAAGGCCTCTCAGCCTTGGAAAATTTGACCTGTGTCCCCACTGACGTCACTAATGACAATGACGGTGGCGAGAGTACAATGGACTTTGATGACACTGCCTCTGTTGTCAGTTCTACTGATGATGGATCATCAATTTCATCCGAGACACCTCGACGCTCTGGACGTCGCGTAAGACCTCCGAAAAGATTCGACCCATCCAAATTTTGATCGCGTTTTTGTTACTGTTTGTTGCTGTCCAAATATAGCATTTATTCTGAATAATATTACTGCCTCGCTGCTTATTTCTTTTCTCTCTGTATACATACTACCATCCTCTCCCTTTGCTACTGGTTCTTTGTTTGTGTAACATAAACTTTACTGCGAGTCCAGCAATAATATCCTTCAAGTTTATCAGGTGACCTCCGTAGAAAAACCTAGCTTCAGGCGCATAAGTCACACATTGAGATCAATATCCCCCGTCTGCATGCGACTGGTGCTGGTCGCGTGGCAGAGAAGCATCGATACGACTGCTAAAATCTGCCTTAGTTACTAAATGTTCCTCGAAGAAGCAACTTAGGATAAGGACTGTCCGCTATACCATTGTCAGTTTCTGCGAGGCTCGAAAAATCACCACCTCCCAGCTGTTGGACGGTTGCTTATTAGCCTTTCCTTGTTTTTCAATAAATAAACCTCACTTGATACGTTATATCGACAAAGAGATATGATCGCAAACTTGCGGAAAGTTCTCCTTTCGGTTGTTTTTATCCGTTGGTCATATTCACGAAAATGATGTGGCATCACCAGGCTATTGAAATCACTTTGGTGATTTGTACGGAATCATTACATTCGTTCGGTACCTAAATTGATCCATTGTGACAGTGCTCACGGTCTATACACAAGGCGCATTTGGGTCAGTCGAAGGACTGATGGAGATCAAGCGCAGTGGTCGCCATGGTCATATGTGAGCAATTTCTCTTCCTGTCCATGACGAGATAAGGGGTTATTCGAATACCTATCTTCATGCCTTCTGTTACGTTTGCATCCTCATGATTGCTTCGGGTGTCTTTGGGAGGCACTTTCTATGCCCCTTGGGGTATCGCTTCGGTACAGTGTAAGATTGTTTTCTGGCGTTGCTGGTCCACCTTGAGCCTAATATTTCAAATGCAACTATTACTTTTCTGATCTTGTCTTCCCATTACAACTCTATGTAGCGTTTTTCATTCCACATCCACAAAACCTGTTCGTGTGTCCAAATTACTTTACATCAGGTGCAGGTAAATACCCACAGAGTGTATGCTTCGAACTACATCGAAACTATGTCTTTGAGTACTGAGTGCAGTAGTCTCCGTAAAAGCGCGCGGACGAGTAGCTAGGATAGGTTTTGATTCCTACGACAGAAAGTCTCCTTTTCAGCGTATCTGAGTATTTTATTGTGGGAGCTAATATATAAGTAAATTTGTATATTTACCGACAGTCGGTACACGGCCCCATAATTGGGAGCGATCATTTGTATAGTGAATAGGTTTCATGGTTTATGCGGCGTAAATCATAATAGCAAAGAAAAGTTAATTAATAGAATTTCCGATCATGATTTTTTTCCTCGGGTCCTAGACCCGTGCACCTAACATGTAAAATTCACGGCTGTTTGTATCATCATTTTCTAATTTGTGGCCACAGGAGTAGATAATAAAAGGGAGGGGATACTAGGCTGCACAGACACAGGATTTGGTATTGTAAGTAAGGATATGTAGTGGGTAAGCTAGTCGTAAGCAAACATCTGCTCATATCTTTTTTATACCAGCTTCTGCTAATGTTTCTAGAGTTTGCTGTGAGTCAAAGATCTTCAACACATTTGATATAGTGAGGAAAGTCTGAAGGGAATTTCGAAATGTGACATAGCTTGCACCCATGCGTATCTGTAGGGGTAGTTCGTTCCACAGATCAGTGTATCTCACTAAGAAGAAATTCGATCGAGTTTTATGACTTGAAAAGTTTGTGCGTATCAAGTAGCCGCCATTACGTGTGGGGTAGACTGCAGTGTTTCGTAGTTCAAGTGCAGTGCTGTCTGCGTAAATTAGTTTGTTTATAATGTTGTAGAAGAGAACGAGCTTGTTCTTTAAGCGTCTCAGCCAAAGAGGATCCAGTTGGAGCTTTCGACAGCGCCCGATGAAAAGTTTGGTGAATAATCGTTGGACATTTTCCAGAGCCGTTCCGTCTTTTTTCCCAATTGGCTGTGAACGATAGTACAGTATTCCAGAATCGGTCGTACTATTGTCTTGAATGACTCAAGTCGTGCTTCAGGTAGGGAGAAAGTTCTGGTGATATAACCGCCTTGCTTTCGCAATCTGATAAAGCACATGTTCGGAGAAATTGAAACAGTTTGAGTACCTAATTCCTAAGTCCCGAACTGAATCAGACGTTGGGATCACGTTTCCGGCAAGCGTGATAGAGTCTTCTGGGATGCAGCATCTGTACCCAAGTACTTGGGATTTCACTGCGGAGAACTTCATTAATGAAGGTTCACTAGTGCAGATAGGTCTTCACAGATGTTTCCCAGGTACATTTATAGTTGGTCTGGATGAAACGAGTAGACCAGTTTGACGTCATCTGCAAGCAGAAATAGGTGTCCATGTTTGATCGGGTCACCTATGTTATTTACGTAGATTACGAAAAGTAGTGGTCCGAGCACACTTCCCTGGAAGACACCGCTGGTTATTTGTTTCGGTATAGAATATTGCTGACCGATTTTAACTACCTGAGTTCGACCGTTTAGCTATGAGTCGAACCAGTTAAGCAGAGGATTTCCAATTCCATATGAGTCTAGAGCAGACAGCAGTGGCTTGTGCGGCACGCGGTCGAACGCCTTTTGCATGTCCAACAGAATTATACTAATTGCCACTCCTCTGTCAATCATAGTCGTGACGTGATCGAGAAGTTGTAGCTGGCAGGTAACGCAGGAGCGTTTTGAGAGAAAGCCATGCTGTGAAGGGTTGATCAGATCCAATCTTGTAAGATATTGAACAATGTTCTTCTTGACTATTTTCTCGAAGGCTTTGAAAGCAGCAGAATTGTGTTTTATTGGGCAGTAGCTTGACACTTGATTTCTCGGGCCACCGTTGTGCTTAGACATTATAATGGATTGCTTCCATTAAGTTGGAAAGCAGCCGGTAGTGAGAGAAAGTGTGGAGATGTTTAATAACAATGGAGCGAGGTTTTTCCCTCCGCGTTTTATAACAGTTGGGGAGATGCCATCTGGGCCTGGACGAGTTGATGGCCTTATGGATGCGATGGCACTTTGCACCTTTTTTAACGTCACAGGGATATTGCAATATAGTTCGGTTGTTCCTTTTGGTAGTGGAGGATTAAGTGTTGGGGACAAAACAGGAGGAAAAATTAGAGTTGATAGCCTCGCATATAGAGGAAGTGTCGCGCGTTATTGAACCATCGTCTAGAGCCAACGTTTCAATTTCCTGAAGTGGTTTAGGGTTCCTTCTTTTGAGTAGTTGCATCAATTTACGTACTTTCTCAGGATTTCTGGCTACCAGACTTACTGCTTTGATTTTGGCCGTTTGGGTTCGACGTTGTAGCTGTAGCAGCTTCTCGTGTATTTGTAGTAATGTTACGAAGCTGTTGCTCCTGCCAAGTAGCGATTTGAGTTTCTTTAGTTTGGTTTTGGCTTTGTACGGAAGATTGAGTTCACCACTATGTTCATGCGTATTTCTCCATAGCATAGGTGTCAGTGGATCCACACCAATTTGGATCTGTACAACTCCATCGAAATATGATGAAAAACGTTAAAAAAGAGTAATCCATGACTTGTCGATATCCTGATCGTTTTCCAAGTTTTCACATGATATCGTAAAAAATAACGTAGAACTCCCAGTAAATTGGGACTCAAAAATGTAAGATGTCACTGGGTAAACATTCTCGTGATCTAACATTTGAGAAATACACATCCAACAATCGTTTGATCTGCTGCACTGAGCTTGTTTCTACTATATGCTTCGGCAAACTTCCAAACCTTTGCCGTTCAAAGCACAGGGGATGGAGAACTTCATAGCTGCAACCACAAGCTTGTACTGGTGTCCGAGGGTGCTGCGATGTGTTCGCAAGTGGAGCAACGGCATCAGCATGGGGAAGTCACCTACATGTACAATGCGGTAGGTCATGATGAGGTTAACTCGCAAACGACGATATGTCAAGGTGTATAATCCCAGTCTTCTCCATTTTTCCTCGTACGATAACCTCTGCAAACTAGTGCTGATGATGGTGTTGGACCCGTTCGATCTTCTGCACCTCGCCTCGTGTGGTCGGACAGTAGGCGAGCGAGCCGTACTCTAGCATTATTCAACACCTGACCAATATACAATTGGAAGTGCCACAACACATAGTTAACAACAACAAAATGGGGAAAACAAATAGATAGTGGAAAAGTTTGGAAGATCTACGAGATTAATGTGTTGTGCGAGCAGAGATCTTCCCGGTTGCCTGAGCCGAGGAAGAGGGTTGACTTAAGGGACCCTACCCCGAGCCTTTGATAATAAAGACCTGACTCACAAGGCAGCGGAACGAGTAACGAAGACCGTTGAAATCCGGGTAGCTCATTCGCCTTCTGTGTTCAGTAGCAGTCCACAGAGAAGCCGGTAGCCAACTAAGTTGTTCATCCGCCCTCCGTTAGATACTCACTTCTAGTTACAGAATTGAGTGGTCAGCAACCCTGGCATTGGTCTGAAATGGAGGAGAAAAGGCGAGTTGCAACCTCAGATCAGATGAAGAAGCTGCTTTTGAGAACCCAGAGCACGCGCAGTCCGTTTCGCTGTACATATTCGTGTTGTCTACGTACTTCATACCGATGCGTGAGCATATGCCTAGGTCCTTCACGGAGGTGTGGGTTATAGTAGTTGGCCGTGAAGAGTGTAGGTTCAGCCGTCACCGCCCTTCTCCAGGCTCATGATTACCGACTTAGATGGGTTGACTGGGAGGCGGACTCCTGCAGACCACATGGAGAAACGGTTGAGGTCTTGCGGAAGTAGGCCGAAATCGTCGGAAGTGCTTATCACTCTCGACATCTTCAGGTCGTCCGCATACACGGCGATCAAAGAAGCTGAGATATGTCGTTGATATCAATCGGAAAAAGTTAGGCCTCAGTACCTTGTCTTGTAGTCCGCCACTAATAGATGGATACCAGTCCGTTAGATGGTTGTCGACTTGCACCCTCCACTTCTGTC